TGTTGCATTCTCTGGAAATGGATATGTATATAAAACCAATATGAATTTCCCACTTCAGTGCCTGGCAAACACCCAAATTCACATGGAGGAAAGGTACAGAGCAATGAAGAAAATAAAAGACTTAGTTTGAAAAGAGCTGGATTAAAAACTCAAAATAATTACAGCCTTCTTAAAGCTTTCAGAAAAAAAAAATTTCCAACACAAAGGACATCACTTTTAGTTAGCCAGATTTTCCAATTGAGTTCATCTTGAGCCTATCATTCCCAGTAGACTTTAGCTCTTTGTTTCCAATTTCCATAATTCTCTATTAATATTGCAGGCCTGGCAAATTCCACCAACTCAGAAAAGCATTCAGTAGAGGCTGAAGATGTTAATTTCTCCTTATAGGATGTTAGCGCAGACAGCACCTGCATCCTGATTTGTGTTTGTCATAAACTTTGCAGCTGTAATGGAGAAAATCCCACATACTTTAACATTTTGTGTGTTTATGTGTGTGTGTAAACAGGAATATGATAGGCCCTTCTGCCTCTATAGTATAGGCATTTATTCAAAACTCTTGGGCTTTTTATTGTAGTAAGCAAAAGTCTATAGTTTTTGGAGGGATGATATTGTCATGAAGACCCAGTTTCAATTTAAGTGCTCCTGGGCTACCCTTTGGGAAAAAGATGACCATTTGAAGCACTAAGCTACTGTTGTCACTGTGAGCCTAAAAACAAGCCCCAGATGGTCCCTCGGAAAATACTTGTCCTTTTGTGCTTGACACTGTCCTCTGGGTACTCATTGTCCCCACCTAGGGACCAATTCACATGGTTGGCAGGCAAGTTGCCTTTGTGACAACACTTCAGTGAATCATCTCATCACTGGTTTAAGATCCAGGCAAAACCATAAATGGTGATATGAACATCTTATTTACATAAATGTGCTAAGATACCAACTAGACACAACTCAGGGTCTTTGCTATTCTGTTAACGAGGAACTAGGTCCATGTAAGGACTAAATACCTGGTTGTCAAATGACCTAGGACCCTCTCCTTACATAAGAAATGAAAACAAGTGAAACCAAATGTGGGCAACTTCTCTACCTGGCTAGAAAAATTGTACTTGGAAAGGCAATGGAAAAAAAACCAAAACTGTTCGGATTTGGATTGATCTGTGGATGAATTGAGCATGCTAGATTTACAGAATTCCTGATATTTTAAATATCGTTCAACAGAGGGCTGTTGTACACCCAGCAGGGCCTGCCCAGGGTCATCTTTGCTGTAATTCACACAATTTAGGCTGCTCCAAGGGCTGGGACCATGTAGGTCTTTTGAAATTACTTGTGGCTTGAGGAGATCATGAGATTTAATCCCAAACCTAGAAATTTTCAAAGGGGAGAAAACTGTGTGGAAGAAATACTTATAAAAATGATGTTTTTGAAACATAACATCTGTGAGTCATAATAATAATAATTAGTAGTAATTTGCACTTGCACAGCTCTCAGTGGGTTTTTAAAATGCTTTGGTATCTAAAATGTGATTTATAGGTAAGACAAATATAATTACATTATGGCAATGAGAAAAACATAGCTGTCCACAGTAAGTGATAGATTTGATACCAGAACCCCGACCCAGTGGCTTTGACTTTGTAAACTTGTATGTTTTTCATGAGATTCAGTACCATGCTATCTACTGATGTCAAAGCAGAGCATTTTATATTATGCAAGAATACTTCAAAAAGATCATGGAAAAATGGAATTAAAAGATAATACAAATCCTCCCATGAACTTTTTAAAGTACCCTCATATTTGATCATATCCATGTATCCATGTTTTTTTCTTCTAATCAGGACAGCCAGTAACTAAAAGCTTTTTTGGATTTGATTTCATTCCTTATCAATATTGAGGAAAAAATAAAAATACTCTATTGAGTGATGTGACTATCCAGTCTAATTCCTAACAATGTGGACAGCCTCTGGAGGCCATTGCCTGTGATTCTTCTTTTTAACCCTACACCCGAGTGTCTCCAGCAGGGCTCAGCCTTAAGGGTCCTCCTCGGCTGTTTTAATTGTTAAGGATGACACCAGCTCAGGTATAAAGCACTGTCTTCCTTAGACAACTGGACAAAGAGAAATCACCAGAACCTAAGGTTGTGAATAATTCACTTACTTTATTTACTGCATATTGCTGCTTGGAAGATATTTATAGGCTGTGATTATGCCTCCTTGAGTCATGTTTTTAGACTGAATAAATTTAGACCATTTTCTCATAAGATTTAGCTACTGATTTTTATAACATTGTTTTGTCCTTCCTTTCCTATTCAGTTGTTTTGAAATAGTACATAATGATCCAGATGTAGAGGCTTTGGGTTTTTTTTTTAAGATATATATATTACCTGCTTAATTTTGCTCATTTCTAATCTAAGAATGACTAACTTAAGGTCAAACTAAAAAGCTTCTATGCTTTTAAGTTTTTATCTGTTTCTCTCATCAGTTCTTTAATATTTCTTATATAATACCAGTCCTTCACTTTATACAATAATGATAACAGAAAATTAAATATTTACATTTTCATGTATTTATTTATTGGGGGTAAAGATACATGTTTGACATATTTGATACATATTTTAATTATTAGTACTTAGTCTTTATCTACATCTGCTTATAGTGTGCACCTAGGTTCTAGGCCTCATGACTATTTACATTTTCATGTATTTATTTATTGGGGGTAAAGATACATGTTTGACATATTTGATACGTATTTTAATTATTAGTACTTAGTCTTTATCTACATCTGCTTATAGTGTGCACCTAGGTTCTAGGCCTCATGACAACCAGCACAGGACATGAGACTAATGTGTAGGTTCTGGTTGCAGCCCCATCAAAGGTCACTTAAAGTCTTTGAATATCTACTCTCTCATACATAAAATGAAATTACTAATAATTGTTATGCCTACTTCATGAGGTTTTTGTTAGAATCACAAGAGAAGTACATGTGAAAATGCTTTGTAAACCAAGAATATTTTACCCAAGACAAGATATGTATTATTATGGTTATTCTATATTTATCTAGTTTGACTGGTGTCATTTCTTGAAGTGCATTTTTGTTTTTAGGTGTCCTTGGCTATTTCACTTCCTGGTGACCAGGAAGGCAGATGAACCATAAGGTTCTATTTCTCTGACCCTTAGATCCTTTTAAAAAACAAGAGACCTTTTTGTTTTTCTTGTTTTACTGTCTTTTTGGAAATTGGAGAAATCTTATCAAGGTATATTGAATCAATCTAGTCCCCTTTGATTTTCTATGATTTATTCTGTATCTTGCTTCTTCAACCCTTTAATTTAAGAATTTTGTCTTAAAATCAGAATATTTTGCACTCTCCCTATTCATCTCCTTCAATGTGAAAATTGCAGAATGTGGGAAAAAGAAGAGAAGGGGCTATTGAGGAGACTTCAAGGAACAATGAATCTGGAAGAACAGGAGAAAGTGTGTTTACTGTGGTTCACAAAGGAGAGATTATTGCAGAAACTGTATGCTAAGTCCTTATCTGGGTCAATCACAGCACCGGCTTTCTCTATTCTTGGCCTGGTTATTATGAGAAAGTTGCTCATCTGGGCTGGCTGCTCCTGACCAAAATGTATGCTGACGATCTCAGCTAGGACTTTTCTGATGCACAGCAATATTTTTAGCCTTTTCTAACTGTCCATACATCATCCACAGCTTTCCACTGTCCTTAGACACTAGCCCAATCTTCATCATGGTCTGCCTCTTCTTACCCTGCAGACCAAGTTCTATTGAATCCTGCATGTCCACTTGTACCAATCCTGTACCACAACCTTCACTTGCTGTCTCACTTATTAATATTCTTGAGGCCTCGTTTCATTTTATAAAATAAATGTTTTATCCTAGAATAGTTTTGGATTTACAGAAAAGCTGCAGAGATATGCAGAGAGTTCCAGTCTACCCCACAGCTGGTTTATTATTATCTTACATCAGTATGGTATATTTGTCACGATTAATGAACCAATATTGATATGTTATTATTGACTAGAGTCCATACTTTATTCAGATTGCCTTAATTTTTGCCTAATGTCCTTTCCATTCCCAGGTCCAGATAGTTGTCAATGTGTCCTTAGACTCCTCTGATCTGTTACAGGTTCTCT